ATTTTTAAATTTTACATTATTAATCAAAGCAGGGAGTGAACTATGGCATGGTTCCCCATCTGTGCTTATTCATCCTCTCCTGTAACTCCCGACATCGTCGTCTACTGAACTGCAGTGACAGATCACTTCCAACAGCCCTGTCTGTGTGAGGAGGAAGCTCGTAAAGGGCATGGTCTCCCATCTCTCTGCCAAAGATACTGTCATGTACAGATACTTCAGATCTGCAGTCTTCCGCAGATAGTTCCCATATCTAGCATCGAGTCTTGCGCTTTGTTGCCCATTTAGTGCAGCAAAAGTTTGGAGAGATTAAGCTGTGTCTTATTTCTTGTGGCCCCGGTACTGGCCGCCATCCAGAATATGCAATTTCCTTCCTCACTTGTGCTTCAGAAATACGCAGCCCCACTGATAACACCTGCTTGAGTAGAGCGCCTTCACCGGCACGGAGCCATCACGTGGCCACGCATAGATGTCCAAGCAGAGGTTTGTAATGCAGCGGCTTCAGGAGGTGTCCAGTTAGGGTTTGTCTTGGAAAATCGCTTTCTGTTCACCCGCTGTAAATACCATCTCACACCGCTGCAAAATCTGTTCACTTCCTGCTTCATTTTCTGTCTTTCTGCACATTGGCGTTGTATGGAGGAGCTCACAAGGGAAAAGGGGAAGCCTGTGAATGCAACAGGCTATTGCAAATCACACAGCAATTACCTAAGAGCTGTGGCAGATCACACAGGTCACGTGCCCTGAATCACTCGATTTCTGACAGGGCCAACACTGCACGCTATGGGCGCACTGTGACTTACGGTTATTTTCACTGTGTGATCCTGTCTTTGGGGCAGCAGTCCTCTCCTGACTGAAAGTGATGTTAGGTGACTGCTAACGATTATTACCCTTTCAGGGGACAGCATCAGTGTACAGCAGAAACCTCCGATCCAGGTTGCACTGCTCAATGAAGGAATATCCATCCCCTGTGAAGTCATCTTCCCTTACATGCCGAAATACACCAGATTTTCAATCTTCTACTACTGGATTAATTCACTGGGCCAGAAAACCTCCATCTACAGTAGGACGGAAAATGTAGTCATCCCTTCTGGAAAGGAGAATAAGACTGCTACCATATCTTACAACCACAGAATCAAGCTGCTTGAAAACACCTCTTCCACTGGCACGTACTACTGCAAGGTCGAATGGAACGGCATCCAGAAAACAGGAAAGGGAGTGTTTGTCCTTGCTAGAGGTAAGTGAACAACCAGAAGGGAAGGGCAGGTGGTTAAAAATCAGCTGGATCTGGCTAGGAAAAGATGATCTTTGATTTTCTTTTCCTCTACCCAAACAAGCTGTGAAGTCAGGTGGGAATAATACTTTATGCCCAATACTTAATGCCATCAGAGTTGAATCCGCTTTACACAGGTTCCCAGTGCACAGATGGGGACATGAAGATGCAGTTATTTTTATCTGTCCTGCCACAGCCTCTTGGGAACAGCAGGCTGAAGTCAGGGTCTAACCACAGGGCCTGGACACTGGTAAGAGGGTGCTTTCAGGTGTCAGTGTTCAGGAGACTGCAGTTTGGCCTTCAGCAGCATGACAGAGACAGTTGAACACAAGGTCAGTGGTAAGGGTGCTTGCTGTACAGGGTAGGTGCTCACTGTTAGGGGCTCACAAACAGGTTAAGGCATCACTGTAATCCCTCTCCCTCTTCCATGTGGTACAAGGGGTCGGCTGTTCTATTAACGTGCAGCCAGGAAAGCGGAAGAGAGCTTCATGCCAAGATAAGAGGAATGTTACAGGAAAGTGATAAGGACACACATGCTGCTGGCTGGCTAGGTTGGCATTACGGAATGCTGGATATGAAAAACTTCTTAGAAAGTGTAAGTGCAAAGAGCCGTGACAAAAGAGCTGTGCTACACTGGTCAGAGGATGCCTGCAGTACCCACCCTGCTAGCTTGTGTGGCCTGTGTGCTTTCCACCATCTGTCTTTCTGCCCCTATCACTGAAGACATTTGCCAGCCTCTACCTACCCCCTTTCTTGGCTCTCATAGTTAAGTCACCTACCTCTGATCTACATGAAGTGCAGCTGCTTATATCCTGTGTCTTTTACATGATTCTTCAGCTGCACCCTACTCTGTTCAGCCAGACTTGGTTTTGAACGGTGTGTGCCTCTGTGCCACCAATATTGTGCTTCTGTATTTTAGCTCTCTCAAGGCTCTTTTCAGGGTTAAAAATGCAGCAGGATTGTAACATCATCCACTCACACCGTGAATCTTTTGCCTTCTTTCTTACAGGTACAGGGTATGTAAAGGCCTCTTATGGGTGGACAATCCTCATTACCGTTACTGCTCTGCTTGCTACATTGAGCATCGCCGCAACAGCTCTGCTTCTGTGGAAACGGAAGGCAAGTTATAACCGAATAAAAAGCAATACCTGACACGACCCATTCTAGGAATTTATTTCGTTTGCTTCTAACTTGGCTGCATTGGAAGGCCCCATGCTGAAATTTTCCATGCTGGGTCTCTGTCTCAGGTTTATTTTCTTTTTTTTAAGTTCAGTCTTTCTGAGAAAAAAGATTACAGGAAAGACAAAACGAGTCATTGATTTGTCCATTAAATAAATTCTGGTAATCGTTCTGACTCTGGCATAGTCTGCTTTAGAATAAGGATGTGACACAGGGCAAGAAGTCACACTAGCAGTGTGCTGGCCCTGGGAATATTCGAGGAGATGTAGCTTTGTGATAGGTTTTTTGGAAAATTACAGTTTGTGCATGCTCAGTCATGGCTCTTGTCAATTTAGCAGCTCAGTTGTCTAAAGGAGTCCCCGTGAGGCTGCCCTTCATCATAGTGCCAGTCAGACACAGTAATGTCCTGTGCACCCAATCAAGTCAGTTGCAGGCCCAGTGGCAGGAGGAGGGCAGGACTTTCCCTGTTTTTAATCCTTTTCTAAGATGGGGACTACTCTGGTTCAAGGGCACAACCTGATTGCAAGGAGACCGTGCAACAATGTTCCTGAGCTAGGGCTCAGGCACCATGGAAGAAAACAATCTGCAGTGTGGAGGGGATGGAAACCAGAGCCTTGGGCATGTGTTTGGCAGAGAAAACATTAAGAGGAAGAGTGAGAAGGGAAGGTCAGGACAAAGATCCCAAGAAAGCCTGTGTGGAAGTCCCAACTAACTGGGAAAAAAAGAGAGAGAGAGAAGGACCTGAGGAGCAACCTGCTTTAGTTGATTCTGCTTTGAGCAGAGGGGGATTGGACTGGACAGTCCTCAGAGGCACCTTCCAACAGCAGTGATTTTGTGAGGCTGAAAGAAGGAGCCTCAGGAGGGAAATGGACTGAAATCAGGAGTGAGGAAGCACTGGAGCTTGGAGGAGGGTGTTCAGACTGAACTGACAGGGCCCCTCAGGTGAGCAGACCAGTGGCACAGGTTGGGAACAGCTGGGAAAGGAAGTGGAAGCTGAGATGAGTAGCTGAAGGCAAAGGGGAAACCAGAAGTGGGGAAAAAAGGATGTAGAGAGCAGGAGAAGGACAGCCAAAAGTAGGGCTGAAAGATCTGGATGAGGCAGGGGCTCCGTGGAAAAAACTCTGAAGTTGTTATGCTGGAATCCTTGCTGTTTGGGGAAAACCTACTGCTTTTAGTACTGCCTCCCTAGGCTTTCAAAACAGCATCCTCTGCATTCTTCCAGAGATCTCAAGGCTGGCTTAAAAAAACCTTGGTGTCTTTTAGAGTGTAATTTGTAGATTGTTGTTTTCTAGGTAGAGTATCCCCCACATTTACTCTTTCAGCCTGCTCTCTGCCACCGTGACAGCAGACTGGCTGCATGCGTTGTTATGTGGAGGCTGTGCTGTCTGGTACGGTCCTACGACTCCAAGGAGCATCAGGCTTCAGCACACACAGTCAGAGCCCATGAGGTTGAAAACAGAATGGCAGCAGTTGGCAGACCTGCTGACCTCATGAGAGTTACCTCGCAGGCAGGCTGGCGGAGGGGGAAGGAGCGCAAGCCACAGAGTGACTGTGCTGGAGACAGACCTCCATCTCTGCTTGCCTAGACAGCGTCTCCATGGGGATGGGGAGGGAGGCATTGTCACGACTTGCTGATTGGCATCTCTAGGTTTCGAGGTGGGCCAGCAAGTCTCAGACCTACGGGCTCTCCTCGGGGCCCAAAGAGACCATGCAGTCATTACACTTGCCCTCCTGCAGAACACAGCCCATATTTCTCACCGCAGCTTGCTCAGACCTGCTGGTTTAAAAATGTTTATCTTTAAGAGAAGCTATTTAGCATCCTCCTTAGTTACTAATGGACTGGAAAGCAGTTCATCGTTTTCATGTGATGTGAATATAATCATCCCACTTCTTTCCGAATTAGAACAGAGATACTTAGCAAAGCCTTCTGCCTTTTCTACCTCCTCTCTTGCTTGCTGAGCAGGGCTAACTCTTCTCTGTGCGTGAATGGAGTGTGTTCGAGGAGAACTCACCCAATGCAAGAAATGTTTCAGAGGAAGAGACCTCCTTCCTTCAACTCCATGCTGGACTTGTACATTGGTGTATCACTGACTATATATCATCATTAATGGTCGTCTGGTGCTCCTCTCTAGACTCTGCATATTAGCAAAAGCTTCCCAGCGAAATCCTGACAGAAGTCACTGCACTCTGAAATTCCCCCCCACACTTTGAATAGGGCCCTGCTGTACTCCCTATCCTACAGCACTGTTGTGTGCTGTTAAATACTTACACCTTCCGCCCAGCTGAGTTTCAGTGGTGGCAGTGACTTCTATGTACGCACAGAGCCCAGTTCTCCTTTATACTGCTCTAGTGTAAGTCATCAGACTCCATTTGACCCTGTGGTGAGGAAAGGGACCAGCCCGCATTTTGGAGAGTGCCAGCACTCTTTGCTGTGAAAGCACTCGGAGGGTGTGCGAGCAGCTGGCTTTGACATGACATTGGTGTTCGCTTCATCTTTGGGGAGACGGTGTTTTCTCCAAGTGTGTCATTTGGTGTCTTGTCCTCAGCAGGTGTTGTGCCCTAGAAGGAACCAGATAAATATTCTGAAACAGAAAGTGGAAACGCAGCCTTCTTCAGCCAGCCCACCACCACCGCCACCACCACCTCCTGTCTATGATGTGAGTACCAGAATCATCCTCCATCCCTTCTGATCATGGCACAACTCTTCCTTTCCCTGCCGTGCCGTGGTACAGACAACACCAGTATCATGATGTGAAACATGTGATAAGCAGTTACTGTGTAGCAGTCTGGTACTGTTGACCTTGCTCATGTGCTCTGCCCTGCTTAGCTCCCCTCAGGACTTGTGCGTGTTGCATGTCCCCATCCTGGTCCCTCTGGTGGCCTCCCCAGTGCTAAAGCCATGCACCATGTCCTTCTGGGCAGCGCCTTTCCCTCTCCCAGCAGCGTGGCAGCGCAGAGTGGCAAGTGTGGGGCCAGAGGGGGTTCCTGGTGGTAGAGGTAGAAGGGCCTCCTCAGGTCAGGAAGGAAGAGGGGATCTCAGCCTCGCTTTGTACTGTAAACTGTCTCAAGGACACGTTCTTTCCAGCTGGAGAATGATGGGACAGAGAAGTGCTCCTCCAAAAACACCAGCTGTTCAGAGCGTCTGCTGTGACACCTTTACTAGTGTCACTGTCACAGGCCACTGCAGCCCTGAGCAGGCTGACTAGTTCTCAGGGGGAAAAGGGCAGGAAGAAGGTGAAGGGAGTCTCTTTTGTGAAGCATTTCCCTTTTCATTGCATAGGATCTCCCTTTCCATTCCTCAAACTGGGGAACACCAACTGCTCCCACTTCTCAAGCTCAGTAGCCACAGCATCATAGGTAATAGGATTGAAGTGACTCTCCTGAAATGCCAGACCCAGATCTTAGCTACCTCAAGTAACCATGACCCCTAATCCCATTTACAACCCACCCAACTCCATTGAAAATGGATTTTTTTTTTCTCCTTCTACTCCCATGGGAGGGCTGCCCCACTAAGAAGGGAAAGTTGTTGGTTTTTTCCCTGCGATCTGTGGGACAAACAAGGAGGAATAAAATGAAAAGGAGAGAAGGATGTTGCCTGAATATTAGGAAACCTTTCTGACTGCGAGGTCTGTAAAGGTTGGAAAAGTCTCTCCAAGGAAAACCTGTAAGCTCTGCTGCATTAATCATTTAAACTAAACAAAGCAAAGCTCTAGAGAATGTACTACAGAGAGAAGCAAAGCTCTGCCAGGGAGGCAGGAGACCAGATAGGTGGATGATAGGAACAAGAGGATGGGCCTGCCCGCTTCTCATTCTCTCTTTGCAGGCTGTGGAGCACCATTCTGTGGCCCTTTAATTTTTGGAGCAGAGGTTTAAAAGAAAGCACTATGTATATGTTTACTCTGGGCAAAAAGCAATGCTTTGGGTAAAGGAGGTTGCAGGTTATAAACCTTTTCATTTGTATCAAGTAATTTCTTTTTAATTCAGGCTTATAAAAATCCGAATGGGGA